TCATCCACCCTATTCTTAAACACATCCAGGGATGGGGACTCAACCACCTCCCTGGGCAGCTTATTCCAGTGGCTGACAACCCTTTCAGAGAAGAAATGAGAAGATGAGCCAGTGCATCTGAGTGCCAGGTCTGGCCCCGCGCTGGCTGCCTTTTCTCCTCCTGCCCAGCTGTGCATGCTCCATCTGCTAAGCACCTTTCCTCTGCCGCAGGATTTCACAGGCAGTGATCTTACTTGTTCTCAGTTATTGACTCCCCAGTTTACTGTCTCTGATTTGCTGTTCCAGCCAGCACCATGGGTTACGGGATCTCAGTAATAGGGCACGCCGGGATGTCAGTTTGGCAATCGCGCATCGCTGCACTAAAATGATGTACGAAGCATTAAATTTTGATGAATAACAAACAGTCTAGATAAGTCATGTTGAATTTTAACTGCAAAATACTGGAATCAACTGATTTGTGAGGGCGCTTAACTAAGGCATGAAGCTCTTTAGACAGAAGGAAGAAATTGTATTGGTAAAATCTGACATTCATCTCATCGCGAAACAGATGCAACTAGAGAGTTCCAAAAATTTGATAAAGCAGGGCTTCTTTTCTCCTGTCTGTGCCTTATAGTTCAATGCAGAAATCCTTCTCCTAATATGTTTTCTAATCACAGAGTAGTTTGGGTTGGAAGGTACCTTTAAAGGTCATCTAGTCCAACCCCCCACACAATAAGCAGGAACATCTTCAAATAGATCAGGTTGCTCAGAGCCCCGTCCAACCTGGCCACGAATGTACCACCTCTCTGGGCAACCCCTGCCAGCGTTTCACTAATGCTTCGAAGTACCACAGAAACAGAATTGCTACTTCTCTCCACAGTTCATGAAATAGAAAATGCCTGTGGGATATGTCAAGTACTTGTCACCCCACGTGCTCCACCTGGTACGATTTAATTGAACAGGGTAAATGCCTACTTTAACTGGCTTAAGTCAGCCAGGCTTTGCTTCCAAGAAGGTATTTTTTTTTTCCTTCTTCAAAAGATACTCTATCTGAGCAAAAACATTCAAATGCCTTCTGAGAAAAGAAAACAGAAATAAAAATCCTACTTTGCATAAAAAAAAAGCTTCTGATGAAGACAAAATATCAATCACTGAAGTATCTGAAGCAGAAAGCTGCCTTTTTTAGAAACATGACCTTTTGTAAGGGTGAAATACCCTTCTGCCTTTCTGTGATCGCCTGCTCTTATTTTTCAACAGAGATTTGAGAATTGTAGGTGCTCTTCTGCTCATTTCCTGCCTCCTCTGTGATCTGATGGTGCTTATTCAGCCTTATGTGAAAGACCAAAGCCACTCCTTAGGTCCCATTTAGGTCTGTGAAACACCTTTTGTTGGAATTTGCAGAAGACTGGATCTCATCTGCAGGTTATGTTTATGCAGCATGCAGAACTGGAAGGATTGCTAGCTTGGAGAGAAGTCCTTTGTCCTTGAAATTCTCCACAGATCTAAACTTTGAGCTCAAGTTTCCTCAAGAAAGACAAATATGATATGTGGCCTTTTGGAAGTCCTCAGCACCCTCTCCAGTACCTGTGCTAAAATCAAGTGTACTGCAATATTTCAGATCTCTACGTTGTTCGAATTATCTCTCTAGTTTTATTTTGGATATTTTTCAAGTGGAATGGGAACACTATAAATTGTAGCCACTAATGAAGCCATGAAAAAGCTTTTCTTACTTTAGTTTTTCTTCCCCTTTGCTTTGTAAGGCATGCATTCTCGGAAGAAACGTTTGATGCCTGTCAGAAACAGCTCAAAGGGAAGTCAGGCAGCAGAAACAGGGAATGAAACATAATTAGCATGGAGCAACTCAGAGGGAAGACTAGAGCTGGCATGTGTGACTGATGTCTGTGTATTTGCTGTTGTATGGAAACCTGGAAAATTCAAAGACTCCAGCGTGGATGTTATTTTGAATGTGGTGAAGGGAACGAGTTTTCACGTTCAGCTATCGGTGAGAGGCTTCCAGTTTACGAGGACGGCAAGGAGCTGCTCCTGCCTGTTCAGCTGACCCTTTGTGAGGGTTCTCTATACTGCCTGAGAGATTTTCTGGCAGAGATTCTCTATGCAGCAATTTAAGTACAGTTTGCTGCACAAAGTTTCTAAAGAATGGCCACATTTCCTGGATTACAGAATTCTTGTCCTCCGTAAGAAATCTTTCAAGTTAGAATCCATGCATGTGTGAGAGTGGGTTTTTGTTTGCTTGTTGTTTGAGTGTTGTGGTTTTGATTTTGTTTTTTTTAATACAAAAATCTACCGTATCATTCTCTGGTTCAGGTATACTGGAATTAATCACACAAATGTCAGTCAGACTGCTTTTCCAGCTAGGCACAACAGCCAGCTCTACATCTTCTCAGACTGCCCAGAGCATTTTTATAAAGACTCCCGTCTAGGGTCGTCTTTAGATGGGACTGGGGATACATATCCAGGTCTTTTGCAGGGCCAGGAATAACGTAACAAACAATGTGAACTCACTATTTTGTGGTGCCAGGAAGAAAAACATTTAGCTACCTATCAAAATTATCAACAAAGTGGTACGTGGTCAGATTAATTCCAGAAGAGTGGAGAACACCCGATTTTCCAGGCTGATCCAAGTATATAAGAGCAAGTACAAGTTGATAAACTGTCAAAAGAGGAGGAATCAGTGTTGCATCTGTTCCTATGAGAAGATGAAAGTAGATGGTAAAAATGGGGGTGAACACTTCCAAATAAGTATCTAATATCACAGCCTATCAGCCTATCACTGCAGCAGGTGTCTTACATCCTCTTGCAAAGAAAAGTATAATATGTTCACATATTCCAGAGGAACAAGGATCACTTGGTGGAGTAAAAAGTTGCTATATTCGTAGATAACTTAATTTTGAATGTAGCTATTTCATTCCTTCAACTATACTAGAAACATCCTGGATTTTGTGTGTGTCAAAGAAGGTCTTGTCTCGAAAGCGTACTCTGTGTTTTCCTACCCCCATCTTTGAAGTTATAGCACAAATCACATTTGAAAGGGTCAGGAAAAACACCTCAAGGCCCTAAGAGAACACACAGAAGCAATACATCAGGAGAAAGGCTTCCTGGATAGACACTAGAAGTGAGTCTTAATTACAGCTAGGAGGGTCTGCCTAACCACAGCATGACTCTGGAAGCGTTTAAGGATCTAAACAAAGTAGGACTGGGGAAATTTCACTCATGGAAGTCTGGATTTCTTTTCAGGACTGACAAAGCTCCAAAACCAGGTGGCCTCTAAGCCTGTAAAGTCTGAAATGATAGTTTGGAGCTGATGTTTCCTCATGTCCCGAAGAAAACATCACTTCTCTCTGAGTCCTTCCCCCCTTGATAACTGCCTATCCTTTCCCATCAGTTGATACTACTTAAAAAAAATATATATTTCTTCCTGTGAACTTGCTCTGCTTTCCACATTTGCATATATGTTCTCATATGTCGTTAGCAGCTTCCCTCCCTCTTACCCACATACACACACCCAGGTGAGAATACAGTCACCAGTGTGCACCAAAATCTATTACATCCTGTCCCAGTACTGCTGTACACACAGTTTTCCCTAGATATGTCCCCTTTACTACTGGAATCTGCCCAGAGGGATTTGAGGCCTTGATATGTTCATGCAGAATTTCTTGGACATTGGATCTCTGAGACAGCTAGATTGCTGAATACCTAAAATTTTCTAGCATGTTCATGGTACACGAGGTCAGGCCAGAGCCGCCGCTCAAGCTAAACACTGACAACACAGCTATGCAATTGGCTCAGGAAGCGCTGCACACACCTGCTGTGTGCACGCTCATTCCCACTGAGACTCCTGGGAAACGAGACACCAGTATGTATGTGCACTGAAATTCCAGACAAACATCAGGCTGTCCCACCATACCAGCTCACATCACTAACCTGTCCAACAAGACTTACTTAGCTAGAGTCCCTGTTCTTTCTACCTTCTCCAGGCAAATCATCAATAGCCAGTCTCAAAACTTCACAGAATCACAGAATGGTTTGGGTTGGAAGGGACCCCAAAGACCATCCAGTTCCAACCCCCCTGCCATGGGCAGGGACACCTTCCACTACACCGGGTTGCCCCAAGCCTCATCCAACCTGGCCT